AGCTCATTTTTTCATGATGCCATCTTTGTAAACCGAAATCTAATCAAACGAAGCCTTATTATGGCTTAAGTTTTACAGTTTCCGTTAGCCTTCCGGCGTCTATCAAATAAGGGCCGTCGAGCCTTTGAAGCATTTATTGTTTAATATTTGTTGCCAAACGTGTTTTTTCCAAGCGCAACTAATTAGGGCTGTATTCAGTTTCTGATTCAAAGATCAACGAGACTTGTGTTTTCAATTTCCTTGCACTTATTTCTCGGGTTTGGAATTGGTTGATATTTCTGTGATTCACACGTAATAAACGAGAAATTTCAATCCCTCATACTTTTTGGGGTGAAAATGCCTTTTTTGTGTAATTAATTGTTTCCCTTTCTCAAATTAGGCTTATAGCTGGATTAAAAAAATGTTGCAGAGATTTCTCCTTTGAGCTAGAATTCGTGGATATCATTTAACAGAAGTGAAAGATATGTACAGTGTACGCGCGGTCGTCATTGTAAACGCCAAAAATACTTAAAAAATGCAAAACCTGAGAGCATAGAAGTCTGTTTTAAAAGGAAATGCGCTATAGCCTTTTTGAAAGTCACTTTATTGTTTATGATCATCCATAGATTGTTAGTGCCTAGACAACCAAAGATTTCTTGGGCAAAAAAAAAATTGAAAACAGCAAACTTTCAACTGCTAGAATATTTACATGGTCTTTCCATTCTATGAAATGTCCGCTGATTATTATCGAGCTTAACAAAAACGTTGGTTTATTATTTTTTTTCTGTTCACTAGGGCCACAAACCACATTGAAAAGTTTAGTACCCCAAGGGCAAACAGACTTTGTTGTTCATCATAAAATCCATCGGTGATTCTTTCCTTAGCCATAACAAGCTTAACCTCTCAAAAAAGTAAATTAAACTGCGACTTTTTGTTTGCGGTTGCTAAGTTAAAACGTAGTTTCTCAGGGGAATTGTCTTTCTTTCCTCTGGTAACAGTTTTGATAATGTTTCTTGGTTACTAAAGTATCGGAATTACGGGATATTCAGTTCGTTTAAATTGTTGTTCGCGGTGTATGCGGCCAGAACAGATGGGTATCTGCTCCTCTGTATCCACTTTTAAAAGATACCGAATTAAGTAATAATCAAACCCGTGTCATTCTCACTCTTCTGATTTTTTTTTTCGATATTATATCTGTCAAATATTGTGCTCATATCTTGGTTCTCGTTATATCAGTTTTTCATAGTCACTATCAATGATTTTTGTAATTATTTTCTAGCAAGGCAATTTAATTTTCGTTTCCTATTAGAAAAAGAAACGTCGAACTAAGTCACCTTGTTTATCCTAAGATCCCAAAATCTCGATCTTACACTCTTGTGCATGTAAATAGTTTTTTTTCCTTTTTTACTAATGATTTGGACGACTAAGGGTTTTATGGTGGTGAATATAAAGTAAAAAGTAATAAGAATCCTTTAAAGATTACAAACTGTATTATATTATGATTATGTTTATCTAAATCTATGAAACAAAAGCCCCGCGAATAGAAGCCGATATCCGCATTCATTTTGTGGAATTGGCGAGAATGTCACAGAATTTACACTGATCAGAAAAGCGCCTTAACCTAATTTACACCTTAATCACAACGTTCAGCAAAGGGTAAATTTGCATTTTAAAAGAGGGCTTTTGTAAACATACCATGATCATATATAGCTGCAGTCGTCTATTTTCCACTATTGGTCCTTGTTTTGCTTCGCTTACTTTTTAAGTATGGAAATCACCTCTTATTCGGACGACGCGACTATTGAAATTGTCGCAAAAAACGTAATCAGCTCGATAAGACGGAAAATTAAGCACTCTTAAAAAGTGGCCGCTATTTAATTATCGAGCGCAAAATCTCACTTTACGGCTTCGGCGTTTCTGCTTAATGCCAAGCGGCACAAGTCGCTACTTTCTACGTCTTCATACGGTCTTTAACTAGCTTCCCATGTTTAACGAAGGTTTATCATCCACTGGCGCCGTCCCTACTTCGGCAAATGCCAATTCCACTGGTTGTCCGGAACCGATTGCTAATAAGTATACCAAGGGAGTCAAAGGGGTGGCGTACATGTTGGTGATCCTCCTTTCTCTGTTTGGGAACATTATGGTGGTACGTGTGGTCCACAAAAACCGACGAATGCGAACGATAACCAACTACCTTATCATTAACATGGCCCTGGCGGATCTACTGACCACAGTGTTCAACATGTTACCAACTTTGTACTGGATTTTCAGCGGCTTTGATGTTTGGGCTATCGGAGGATGGATAGGGGATGTTCTTTGCAAGCTTCTGAGCTTCGCGCAATCCCTCTCAATAACAGTCTCTGTTTTCACGCTCTGTGCGATCGCGTTCGATCGCTTTTTCGCCATTTTCAGACCACTGAAACGCGTCATCACATTTCGGGTGGCTAAATTCATCATTGGGGCGTCTTGGGTATCGGCGATTATCGTCTCAGGTCCTCCGCTTTACACTTTGAAGACCACTGGTGAGAGGGGCTTTGCCCAGTGTAACGAAAAGTGGGAACCGCCTTTCAACGAGGCAACCGCCTCACGCGATTACACGATCGCGCTCTTTGTTTTGCTCTACGCTCTTCCTCTGAGCGTCATCGCTTCTCTTTACACGGTTATCATGTTAAAGTTGTGGCGTAGAAAAGCACCGGGTCAAGAGCTTACTTCCAACCAGGAAAACAAAGAAAAAACCAACAGAAAAGTCTTGAAAATGCTGGTAACGGTGGTGATCGTGTTCGCGTTATCGTGGCTGCCGTTATATGTGCGAATGTTCGTGATGTTCGCTGAGTCTGATCGCTATGCCTGCGGCTTACCCTACGACATGGATTTCCTCACACTCTTTCTCGGACACGCAAATTCCGCTGTTAATCCTTATATTTACGTGATTTTCAATGAGAATTACAGAAGAGGCTTTCGAACTGTGCTTTCTAGACGAGGCAGAGGAAGCCAAAGTTCGTCAAGCTCGACTAGGAGAACCAGGTCAAGTCGGCTGCAAGAAAAAGAAGCAATTCTCGTGCGCGCAGATTCGCGCGAAAACAGAATGGACGAACGATGTAGTGATAAGAAAAACCTAGAAAAGCTCTTGCCCGCAACCACAACGACAGAAAATCTTTAAACTTCCTCACACCGTAAACCGCACATCTTGATACCCTTAACTTAAAAAATTAGCAATTCTGTATCATGAATTTTAATCGCGTCAATTCCACACATTCATCCTATGTTATTCTCGAATGGTTTAATCACATTCCTTTTGACTTATCGTTTCTTTGACTTTAGCTTATGGCTTATTGTAAAATATTATGCCCAGATATAGAGCTATGTTATTCTAATGCCCTCAACAAAAAAATACTGTAAATTATAACATTCTTAAAATTAAAGAAGATGACAACTTATTGCACAGCTCACCTCTTTTAATTTCGTAAGTTTAACCTGCCTAAGTGGATTCTGACCATGAAATTATGAATTAAAGCGATCACATCTCGGCACTTTAGTGATGAGCGATATAGAAAGACAAAACAAAAAGGGTTTAGTTATTTATTCTTAAGACTGAACATCTCCGAACCATTTGACAGGAGCTAAAGAACATGCAAGAAAGAGATAAGTATCGTATGCCAAACTTTTATTAAGTCACGCAAAACTGGGCACGAGACATTTAATTATTTAATAGATCTTTCGTTCTTAATTTTTCAAAACAGTTCATTTTTCATTCCTTCAAGGATAGTCTTTTAAACCGTCACAAAACCATCATGTATCAGTAATTTTCCATCCCCGGTAAAAGAAAAAACAAAACAAAACAAATCAAAAATTCGCCTATAAAACAGTTTTGTCGTATATTAAAACACTAGAGTTGTGAGTTTTTTCTTCTTTAATTATTCTTGTTTCCGGCCCCGACCTCGTCCCCAGGGCGTTTTTCCCTGGCTTTGGAGGTGGGGCGGGAAAATCCAGGGAAAAGCGCCCAGGTTTATTTCCATGTTAATTGTCGAGTTCAATGTTCAAATGTTTACAGTTGAATGTACAGATATTTATAAAAATACTAAGAAGACATCGACCGGGCTCCGTTATTCCCTATTTATTCAACTCTCTTTTTAACGGACACTCTCCAAGAAGGTCACCTGGTGTTGGTCACGTGGTCTTGACTAAATTCAAAATAATGTATCCCGACAAATTTACTCCGCTGGCGATACAACAACACGTGATCGAAGCATGGAGGAAAGTATCTTCGCTTCTCATTTTCGGTTCTGGTAGTTGGCCTCAGCGCGAAGCTCTCGCTCTCTCGCTCTTTTTTTTTACCGCAGAAAACACAAAAAATCTACCGCTCGCGCTTCGCGCCCGCGCTCGTGAAAAAATTTGAGCTCGACTTGCAGGCAGGTCTAGGTGGAAAGAGGCGTAACCGAAGTCATGAATGGAAAAAGTTTTACCTCTCGTGAAATTGAATGGACAAAAGCACTTTATTTAAATTTCAATGTACAGTACGGTTGTGCTTCATCTAGATATTTCCTTAATTCCAGAGTTTTTGATATCATCACAAAAGCATTGGAAATCAACTGATTTTGAATTTCTGCACATTTAATATTGCTGTTTTTGGACGGCTTGTCAGTAGAAGCTGACAGTTTACAGCAAAATGATCAACAACTTTAGTGTTCGCCACAAACCTATTACTCGATTTTGTCATGTGGAGATTCAATGAACGGTTCTTCTTGAGAAGGAATCTCAAATAAATGCTTTGTATCCGACGAGGAAATCAGATTGAAAAATCACTTAGCATGTACATTCCTTACAAATGACATCGTTTACATTGAAATCGTAAGCACTAGCAATCAGGGCAATTTTTTTCAAAGGCCCCAAAAATGTCAACTTGCGACCCTTCCCGTGTGGGAGAAGGTTGTGTTACAGCAGTCTCGTGTCTCGTTCCCAAAGACCGCGTTACCGTTGTCCAGCGGACGCTCTAAGGGGGATTTCCGACGAACTGACAATTTCACTTTCGTTCGATCTGCTCGACATCGACGGTAAACTCTTCATTTATTGTAACAAGAACAATGAATTCACGGGAACGTTTCACACTAATGCTAGGTAAAATTGCTTCTCAAATAGAAAGTCACCGTTTAGAGTCATTTAAGTTCCTTTGCAAGGACTCGATTCCTGAAGGTGACATGGAACGGATTTCATCGCCAGAGGCACTGTTTATTGAGCTCGAACATAGAATGAAACTAGGTCCGAACCAAGTCGAATTCGTATGCCAATGTCTTGAACAAGTTGGAAGAAAAGATCTTGCGTCCAAGTTGATGGCTTTTGATGAAAAAAGAGGAGGTAAGAAGATAAAGTAAATTTTAATTTACTTTATTCTTTTATACGTGATTAAAAACACGCATAAAAGGGATCATAAAAGGGATCATCCAAATAGCAAAGGCTAAGGACGGGCCATTAGAAAACTTATGGGGGGGGGGGGGGGGGGGAGGGGGCGAAGTCCAAAAAAAATATTCGCGCAAGGGAAAATTAAACGAAAAAAAAATTCATGCACGCCAATTAATCCTAAGAAATATTCATGCTATGGCCTAAAAAAAATTCATACAAGGAATTTGATAACGAAAAAAAATTTCTGCGGCTCGAAAATTCCCCTCCTCCCAATAACTTTTCTAATGGTCCGTTCCTAATCTAGTGGATGACCCCTGCAATATAATACAATTACAGACAGAATTAAGAATATATATTTTTATAAAAAGTATTTCTTCATGCGCTAAGGCAGATAATTAATTAGAATAGCAATTGAGGGTAGGTAATAGAGTTTTTGAGAGCGACTGTCTGTAAATATCGACCAAAATCGACTTTTTGTGGCACAAGTTCAAAATTAGAATTTCTCTCATTTTTGGCTCATCGATAATCCTTAATGAGTAATGAAACATGCTGTAGTTACCTTTCGCAAGTAACGTGTTCTTCTTCCTTTTCGTGGTTCTACTGACAATTTCTACCGTTCAAAATTATAGAGATAAAATAATGCAAATTTTTACAATGCGCTTTAACTAAGAATTTTGTAAATTGACTTTCTACGGCTTAACTAGGCCCTAATCTATCAGAAAATCGAAACAAATCTCTGGGCATACGATTTTAAGTAGCCCGCAAAACCTCGCGTTCGACCCCAATTTTGCG